TGATTTGGGTAAACACCAACAATTTTGAATTGAAAGTGGATAACGTTAAATCAAGAAAACATATATTCTTCATTGGCGTCTTAAATTAAACTCTATGAAAAAAAAACATTATCTGTGCTCACACAAGGAGTTATACAGTCAGTAGCTATATGGCAAATAATTATATAGTTAATGCAATTTGACTTTGAAATAGCACACTTATAGTTAAAATATTTTATTATAACTTTCGCAATTGTTAAATTTAGCAACGTTTTACTTAGGTTTGGCTTGAGTGTAATGATTTAGAGAAAAATATATGAAATCCATACCAAACACATGCCCTTCCTTCATGCCAATGTACGACGACCAAATAAATGTTGATTGTCTTAGGGCAGACGTTCATAAAATACACAAACAATATGGTTGTGACAAAGATGGCTGAAGGACACATCATTTTTCACAGACATAGGTTAAGTTATATGTTTTTGTTCTGCTCAATGATGAAGCAGACATGTATCAACAATGTGATGGTCAGAATATTTAGTTGAAAAGTATATATTACCAACAACTTCTGGCATAGCCAAATTACTAAAATTTCACAATACCTTCCTATGTCAATGGGATAAACAGGAATTATTCATTAACAAGAACACAACTCTAACTTAGAATGTTTCTTTTTAAGATACATTGTATGAGTGTATTCCAAAAAACAAAATACGTTAGAACTTAAAAAAAAAGGTTTTATTCAATTATTGTAAACTCGTATATTAATTTGTTTGTTTACTTACGTAAATATTCGGTCTAGTTCCTTAGTTACGACTTGTCAATTGTTTATTAGATGTAGTAGCCAATAAAAATAAATGGTTACATACAAATTGCATTAGAATAAGGAGTAACAGCGGACTGGTCACCACATAGACTGAACAATGTGCCGGAATAATCTAATAATAGGCAGTAGGATCAAAGGGAACTTGATTATACAAATTGTGGACAATATAAAATTTGAAGATGTGGTATGATTGCCAATGAGAAAGCTATCTATCAAAGGTCACATGACGTAGATGTAAGCAACTATAAGTCACCGTACAGCCTTCAACAAGAAGCAAAACGCATAGTGTATAGAAAGCAATAAAAGGCTCCGAAATGACAAACTGTAAAGCAATTAAAACGAGAAAAACCAACAGACTGATTTATATTACAATACAATAAACGAAAAATAAAAAAAACATTATAGATACTTAGTCCAGACAGCAACCAACAACACCCATTAGAATTACAGGCACATGCAAAATATGTCAGGGTTAAAAATTAGGCTCATCGCTCATAATCTAGGACAGTGATGGAACAGCACAACACAAAAAAAATACAAATCAGTTGTAAAACTTTGCTTAATTTATAAGTAGTTGTAACATGTACAAATTATCTTTATTTTAGTTACAACTATTTCTAATCAGGAATACACCCTCAAACATCATAAGACGAAATAGTAAGGGCATAGGAAAACCAGAGGTAAGCTCATAATCGGATCATGTTTATCCTGTAAAGATAAAAAAAAAAATACATTCAAAAAGATACATTTCAAATTTAAAAATACAATGTTTTATTGCAATAAAATCAGTTAAAAATAGATTAGGCTCACCAGATCGACACAGAGCACAAACAACTAAAATAAAGACAAAAGACACAAAATGCCGATCTAATGGTACTCACTGTGACTGAAAGCTAGTTCAAAGCCAATAACAAATAATAAATAAATGTAGTTAATGATAGATGTTTTAACTTATATAAATAAATATATTTTACCTGGATTGATTTCTTAACGTTCAGTGGAAAATATTTCATGCATATTAAGAACGATAACAAATTAACATTATTTTTAATAATTAGGATCCCGGATGAACGGAGAGAACATTGTCTAACAAATAAACTCATCATAGATACCAGGATTAAAAGGTGTACGCCAGACAGCCACCAACAGAGCCTTCAGTTTAAGGTCAAAGTTCCGATATGATGTGGCTGGGTATTTATACATCAAAACGACGCCCCTCTTTTTCCTGGGTTTATCTGCCGGATACGGAGAACAGGCATGGCAAGATTTCTATATCCCAGTCAACTCGTGTGGTCCAAAAAATAATTACCATTTTAAGAATAAACAGTTAATATGAACTGTTCAACAGAAAATCGATAGACATGAATTAGTGTTTTAATGATTTTCGAAGATGATTATCAATCTTTGAAAACTGGGAAATGCCCAGAATAAAGTGTATTTTTATCAATTGAGATCTTAATATATGAAGTTATTAATTTCTTTTTTTTTTTTTTATGTGCGTTGAAATTAAGAAAGGTACCATCACCACAAATATAACACAGTGAGTAATCTCATTTGGCAACTAAAAAATGCTTTTTCAATATGATTGATTGATTATATTTATGCCATACCATCACGAAAAATGTTATGTCGAGGCGATACACTTAAGATGACTAATAATTGTGAAATAAAAGAAACGGGAAAAAGAATTGGACTGCCATATTAGAGATTTGTAAAGTTGGGGCAGAACAGAAAAATGAGCATAATTACCACAGCCAAATGATGCTAAAAGGCTCTTTTTCGTAATATGAACAAGGCATTGTGCAAACAAGGATAAATCGTTTTCGTTGGTTGCGTATTTGATAGTAAGAAAAACAATAATCTGGGTTATCTTAAATTGTCTTTAAAAAGAAAATTTACTTTAAAATATGAAGGTAAAGAAAATTTACTTTAAAATATGAAGGTCTCCTAAATTTCTTCAGAAACTATGTAAACGCTTGCCAAAGCAATTACTATATATGTATACATTTTTTAAAAAATATGTTTACTAGACATGCGGGTGAGTTAAACAAAATATCGTGTAAACTATTCAGACGTCGTGTTGTATTTAACTTTGAACAAGGGAGGTAATTCAATAATGTATATAAAAAAAATAGGCAGCATAATACCGGTAGTTTTTGGAATTTGACTAATTTTACTTGAGGTCCAGTGACAAATGTCTGGTGTATATTCAAGACGACAAAAGTTTGTCTACCGGTATGAAAGGGGAAGGGAGGGGACTTCGGAAGAATATTAAAAAACCATGGTATTTTGAATTTGGAAGAAGAATTGCCTTGCGAATGGATGCCTCCAAGCAAAATTGACCCTATATGAATTTGGCAATATTTTGGGTCTCTTTTGGTAATATCGCTCTTCACCTGTTTAAGTCGTATACATCCTTGACTTTCAAATGTGTGTGGTTGAACGTTCCATAAAAGGTATACCCAGAAAATCGCTTCGGACGCACGAAATTAATAGTTATTTTCTTCTCCAAACCCTTCATAGAGTTGTTCGAATGTTTTTTAACGTACGTACTAAAGAGCATCATTTAAAAGTACATTTCAAATTATTGCATCAATATCTTCTCTATTAGCTATTTATAGCAAATTGAAAGGATTTCTAATCGAAAGACTAAGTTTACAAAACAGACATAAACATAAATTATACAGCATTCATTCAAATTTAATTTAAAATAAATTACTACTATATCCTAACAAATGAAAATTTTATTACTTGTTATAATAAAAATATAAACTTTTGAAAATCATTAACTGAATATTTAAATACATAATTGATAAAAATAAAATCAACTTTCATTTTATTCATTACTTTCTTTAAGATGATCAAAGGACACATTAACTTATAAATACATATGTTCTCTTATTATTTGTTCAAACGAAAATATGTTATTACCAAAAATGTGAATTACAATTTTTTTACGAGCTAATTCATTAAAACTACTAAGCAACTTTCAAATGAAATCCCTATTCGGACAAAATTCCATTCTGCTTCCACAACTGAACACCAAGGACAAACAGAAAAGGGATTCCGAAATTTTAAGAAAAGCCAATGTTGCAGATAAAATAATGTTCATTCCTACCTTTATTTTTCAACCAAGAATGTCAATTAAAAACCTGACATTCAAACCTTAGCGCTATGTGTCACTTCTTACAAACAGAACTTGTATTTACAGCTGCATGTATTATTTTCAACAATTTTCGAAATGGATTGTTGGAAATTTACGACGATGCTTGTACTAGGATAAGACTGAAGTGTTGATTGGTTAAAATCAAGTTTAATAGCGACTTCTTGTAATCAGACAGTAACCCTCAAAATACACACAACACTAACTGACGTAAAATATATCTCTGTTTATGTGTATAAATATTAGTCTTAGAGACTTTTCATTGATTGACTGCAGTACATTAAATGTTTCAATGTTTGATTGTTCACGTTTACAAAACTGATGTACGATGTAGATTAAGTCCGACAAATTATAATTAGTGTTATATTCAGCTTAGCTTAAATAGCGAATTTGTTCATACAGAATATTTTTGAATGAATAGAAAGATAATATTCTCGCCGTTTAATGTATGTATAAACCTCGTATATTGTAAAAAATAATGTTGATACGACTGAAGTCTTGCAAAGGCATCAGCAATTAAAAAAGCACAGAACGCTTTGCCCTTTGTGTCATTTATTTGCTTCGTTGTTTGTACTAGATGTAATCTGAATTACATAGAAGTAATAATTAAACATTTTATCTTTTCTCTTGTTCTAAAAAGAGCAATAAGTTTGATAAAACAGGAAAACTGTCATTATCTCAAATTTTCCAGATGCAGTAACACTTCCAGAAGATGTTTTGTAGTTTTGAAATGAAATCTTAATTGCGTCTTTTTTTCTGTCATCAAATTTATACATTATCACTGTTTTTGTATATGGCAATATGATGTCGCTGTACTATCTTGTCTTTTCCTGATTTTATTGTCAAAATCGGAACTTTTAGCGGATAAATGATAACACTTCTATGTAAATAGGGATATAAAATAACTCTTGTTAGACTGATAAATTTATAGACAAAATTTAACAAAACATGCAATTTTTCCTATTTCGAACGTTTCCTAATTTTTACTTCTATGATATGAAATTATTAAAACCGAAAATATATTCCTCAATAAGACAGATCAACAATTCACGATGATCATTTCCTACTATAGTTCACAATACTGGGGTTGACCTTTTCTTAGCCACTGAAATTTCCATAATCCATCAAACTCGTGTTCTGTAACGTACACCGTGCTACCTCCCGGCAGAAAATGAACATTACTTGGTTTTAAAAATGGACATTTGATTCGTGTATGTGGTCTTCCTCCTGAAGGGCCAAATACTTCAAGATATCCAGAACGGATATGAGCAACAATTAAGTTTCCTGCCTCATCAAAATCCATACCATCTGGTCCAGTCGTCACTCCATCTACTGATGGGCACTCTGAAATTCAAGCAAAAAGTTAAATCACAAAAATACTGAACTCCGAGGAAAATTCAAAACGGAAGGTCCCTAATCAAATGGCAAAATCAAAAGCACAAACACATCAAACGAATGGACAACAACTGTCATATTCCTGACTTGGTACAGGCATTTTCCAATGTAGAAAATGGTGGATTGAACCTGGTTTTATAGCGCTAAACTTCTCACTTGTATGACAGTCGCATCAAATTCCATTATATTGACAACGATGCGTGAATGAAACAAACAGACATAATGGGTAAAAATGTCAAAATAGGTATACAGCAGTCAACACCGTGTCACAATCTTAATCACAAGAAAAACAAACAAATATTTAACAAAGAAGCACAAAAATGCATATATCACATTTAACAACCTCGTTCATTGCTTACTTATTTTTGTATTTTATTTATGTATGCCAAATCAACCCATAAAGGATCGAGGGATTTTAAGCACTGGAACCGAATCGTAATTTTAACATTAACTCTGGCGTAGAATCGCGTGTTTGACGTCAGAATGTAAACGTCACACAGGTAGAGATATAAAATAATTTTGTCGTTCAAAGTATGCAAAAATTATAATAGAACAATAACACAATGGCGGGATGTTTAAAGTACAGAGACACGTCATATGTATCAAAGAAACATAAAAAGTCACACGTACAAAGCACACAAGTAAAAATGAAAAATAATACAAACAACACAATGACGGAATGCATAAGTACAGAGCCACGTCAAATGTATATCACGAAAAACAGACCAAACAGTAAAAGTAATATTAATAAAGACAAATAAAAGAACACTTTAACACGTTATTAAGATGATAAACAGCGTCAGTACGCAGAATCTATACTTCAAGACCATCATGTATTATTTGTGAAGTTGATACGGAATATTTATCAACAAGGTCTTGGTACCTTCCGATGAATTTTTTTAGAAAAAGGAATGTGATGAAGATTTGATTTTCTATCAAAATTCGAAGTTCAAACACTTTGAGTTCAAATAATAAATACACAATATCTTGATTTACCAAATTGACAGTGGTACGTACACGTACAATAAAAACCAATTCAGAAATTACAACACTACTCAATAGGTTTGGTATTACAGAATTAGTTCAGAGAGAAGATAAAAATACGAAACATTTACAATGAGTTAACTGTTAATAAGTCAATCGGTATTAATCCGTTAAAAAGTAGACGCAATCATTTGTACAGTATACTGTCAATATGTGCAGCCAGTAAATAACAATAAGAGAGGCTTTGTTTTTGCTCTGAATATGACAACACTTAAAAAGTCTTAAACAAAATTAACCATAGTAACTTAACAAAGTACAAACCTGGTAACTTCCCCCACAACGTTCTCTTTCCAACAGCACCTGGACGAAGTATATCATAAACCCAAAGAGATCTAGTCCGAGTTTCAGCTACTATCAGCTTCTGTGGTTTTCCATCTGAAGAATGTTGTACAGCTATTCCGTTAGAAATTAAATAACCCGTATCTACTTTTATTACTTCATTTTGGTTTGTAACACAATAAACCGATCCAAACGCCTCCTGTAATAATATCCTTACATTAGTTTTAACCGAAAACACCATTCAGAGTTACTGTTGCATTCATAGCAGGAGACGCTAACTCTGGACGTACCGGTCATGTTCCTTTTGGAGTTCATGCGGTTCCCTCAGTTTTTGTTGTTACATTGACTTGTCTCTTTAATCGATTTATGAGATTTTAACATCAGTTAACTACTGTTGCCTATAATTGTCCACTACAGTTTCCGCAATTCTTTTCTTATATGGATCAGACGACAAGGAAATGAGTCAAAACAGCTATACAATGCTCATAGATTAATAAATATGCTGTTTTTACACGGTTTTAAAACTAGATGTTCTAAAGAGCCTATGTCGCTCACCTCTTCAACGATGGAAACTCTCCAACATTGTGAACTAGAATAAAATTCATGACTAAAAATTTCTTTTTAGTGTATCTGGTACTGCTGATTAGTTTCTGAGTGGAATATTTTTTTCAAAGTTAACGGACGACGACGACTGGCTCCAAGTGATTGGAAAAGCTCAGAGTTGCGTTTTGGGCCAGCTGAGCTACAGCAAATAACTTGTATCATAAAAAGTAAAGAATAATTTTAATCTTACTTCGCTTGATCTGGTATATGGATGTGGTGCAATTTTCCCTGCTGGTGCTGTTACCCATAAGTTGCCATCATAATCAAAGCAACAGTCATTACAACCCTGCATAGTATTTCCATCTATGTCTTCTTTACATAACTTTAACAAAAATAATCACAGATCTCAAATGGAATAAAACAAAATGTATTTTTTACTGAATATCAACTAAATGTCAAACTATATTAAAGTTAAAAAAAAAATTAATTTGAAATGAAATTTTTTTACGTTTAAAGTATTATAACGCGGTGTTTGTCCTAAGTAGACTAAGGTACAAGGTATTCAGAAAATACAAACCAATTTCAAATTTAACGAGTTACCATGGCAACAAACCATGACGAAATTTGTATATTTTGTAAAGTTTCTTGATTTTCCTTGTTTTTCATCAAATGTTTAGTATACATGTATTTATGAAATAACCTCACTTCGAGATCTTCTATTTATGAAATAACCTCACTTCGAGATCTTCTATTTAATATTAAGATATGAGCAGAGGTCTTACAAAAATATATTTGGCTAAAAGGTTGATTGATTATGTTTTGTTCAGTGTCTAGTGGCAAATATTTCATGCATATTTAGGACAAAAACAAATAAATTATAAATGCAGAAAATAGGTTCTGCAAATGGATCGACCGGGGAAAAAGGTCCTAGAATTTCATTTGGTACTGGATAATGAGTGTATGGATAGGGTGCAAAAAAATTACGACTTGCAACAGGCCTCATATGGACCCCGTACAAAAGTTGTAGCAAGAAGTTTGAGCATAAAATATACCTTTACATCTCAATTTTTGCCGATATATAATATCTACATTATATTGACCAGGCTTATCCATGATGAGGATACCTAGCCTCATGTCGGATATCCATATCATATCTACCTGATTAAACTGACCAGACTGACCCATGGCGATGATACCTAGCCTCATGTCTGATATCCATATCATGTCTACCTGATTAAACTGACCATACTGACCCATGGCGAGGATACATAGATTCGTGTCTGCTATCGTTAAAATATTTACCGAATTAAACTGACCAGACTGATCCATGGAGATGATATCTAGCATCCAGTCTTCTATTCATATCATATTTACCTGATTAAACTGACCAGACTGATCCATGGTGAGGATACCTAGCCTCATGTCTGCTATCCAGATCATATTATTTTTATCACATTGACATCCTGCTGGTACCCCACCAAAGCCATCTATATTAGGTTCACATATTACTGTAGACTATTATAGTAGAGAAGCATTCATTTAACAAATTTACAGTAAACAAATAATAACAAGAACTTGCTCAGATTTTTTGGATACCCCAACACGTTATTAGACATAGACGAAAATACAATCATCAACCTCAACTCCCTCTCCCCTATTTTTCCCCTTTTTGACCCTTTCTTTTAATTTGTACCTTCTGTGCGGATGCTAAGAAGCCTAGTGTTAGAAATCATTTGTGTAATGAACTTTTGTTGCACTTTCTAATTCATGTGTGTTAATGCAATCTTCCATCTCCTTGAAAGAGTTTAAAACTTCTACGGCCACATCTTTTTGCGTTCTGTTTTTAAAAATTTCCTGCAAACCTACCCTAGGTCTTTAATATGTAGAGGGTCTCACCTTAAATATACAAAAAACGGTCACATTATCTATCAACAGATGAAGTATCCAGTTAAAAATTAAAATTTGCGGAAATTTTAGTAATTACAGGCACCCATTCCTTCTAAATGCAAAGAAGGAATGGACTATGGTCTTATTGTTCTTAAAATGTGGAGAAATAGAACAAAACATCTGTTAATCAATTTTTACATCGCGATGACCTTGAGGTCATTCCGATGTATTGCTATCGCCTAGATTTCCATTATGTAAATTAGTTTTGGGTTTGTAACCGATCTATAAACATGATAAATACGCGCACATAAACGAGTGCAAAATAACATTCCTTATCGTTTGATATAAATACATCTCTTCAATGAATACTGATAAAAATATTTTTGTTTACAACATAAATTAATAATATGAAAATGTTTTGTAGTTAGATATATATATATAAGTAAAAAATCATTGATAATATCAATGCACACGTACCGAAAAATTGTGTTAAAGCATGCGGAAGAATATCTCAAAGAACGTTTTGTGAAAATACCGTCAAGGACCGGTAACTCTGTAATTGATTTTGCGGGAAAATATGAATGCCTACTCGTATCCAATCTTAGAAAAATCGAATTTTTACAGAAAAGTGTCCACCATGCACTTGCATTGCACTATTTTTAGAATAGTAGAATAGAATGATATACAAATGGATTCAAATCATATATATATGTAACTGTTATTTTGATATAATATAAACAACAACTCAGTGTATACTGATTTGTATCACTACAATATAATAGTTATTACGGTGAAGATGAATTTCCTGTCATTTATTCATCATCCACGCACGAACTTGTCTCAGAAAAAAATATATCTCTGTACATTAACCTCAGTTTTAGGTAAAGAGATATGTTGTTTTTTTCTGAGACAAGTGCTTTTGACCATCCTCAAGAACTTGTGGTCATCCGATGTTCAGTACTTCAGTACTTTGATTACGAATGTGATGTAATTAAAAGCATGAATGCAATTTAGGTGATCCTCATTACAGAATATTTGGTCGTTTGGATGTCGTTTCAAACCAATTTTTCTATGATTCAAAGTTATATATGTGGAAGTGTATAGCAAATAAGGATACATCTACAAAATTAACAGAGAAAGGAAAGATTTGTGTTTCTTAAATAAACGTAGGTGGGGAAAAAAACTGTCAAAATATATACAATTTGAGTACCCTGACATTACAGATTTGAAAACATTTTCAATCCTGTATAGAAATTGATACCATACAATTCTTTTAAAACGTGAATGAGGGAGATGTTTTCCATTGCGAGTAGAGGGAATGAGGCACATCGCTGTAGGGAGGGTAGCAGAAACATGGTTACGCTGTTGTATCTAGTATCGAAAGTGTAGCATTTCTTCACTTTTTGTACAAACACTATTTATTCCCTATATACAACATATTATATCATACAATATGCGTAGAAAGCTCAAGTAATACAACAATATTTAGAGATTAAGATAACGCGAACAAAATTAAGGTTAACAATATCTTATTAATATGTATATCTATACCTTAAAGGTATCCAGGTCAATCTTTACAACTTGACCAGCAAAGTTGCCATTAATTTTCACTTCAGGTGCAACCATATAGAACTTTCCACATTTGTCAAACACAGGACCTTCTGCACCTGGGAATCCTTCTGCAATCTTAAAGAATTGCGGTTCTAGAATATGGTGTAAGGTAATTGCGTCGTCCGCCATAATTAGTACTGATAAACACGTATCAAGATTACAATTTAAAAATTGTTGAGGCAGTAAATATGAATGTCTTTTTTTAAATATTTAAAATGAAATCTTATATAAAATACACGACGATACGATAGTATTTTTCTCTCCAAATAAAGTTAAAAGTGGACAAGTAACAAATCTGATCTTACACAAAACATACAAATATTCAGAAGATAAATAATTAAATAGACACTTTATATTAAGAATATATAGAGTCGGGTTATAATATGTAGCAAAAACTCGTCAAAGATACCATGCCCATAATTCGGTACGCCAGACGCGCGTTTATCTACACAAGACTCAAAAGTGACACTCGAAGCAAAATAGTTGGAAGGCCAAATCAAGAACAAAGTTTAGGACCATTAACAACCGAAAAAAGTTGTGCCAAATATAGCTAAAACAATATATGCTTGGGGAGTAAAAAAACACTCTTAAATCAAAAACAAACTGAAAATTGATGGCAAAAAACAAAAACAAAAAACGACCAAAAGACAAACAACAGTACACAAAACACAACTTAATAATCTAAAGACTGAACAACTCGAATCCCATCATCTCAGGTGCTCTGGAAGGGTTAGCAGATCCTGCTTCATATGTGAATTACAATGAAATATATATTTGGTTGTTGAACTGCAACATGCACCAAGGGGCGATGCTTGAAAAATAACGGTTAGCACAGAAATGCAGTAGCAGATTTTGATACTAAACGTATTTGTCTTATAGAAAATCAGTTACTAAATATAGATGCGCACAGCAACATTTTATTCCATGGATGAAAAAGCAAAGAAGAAAAAGTGCAAAATATTTCATGCATATTCTAGGAGGAAGCATATTAACCAAATTTATCATTTCGGTAAGCTCTGCAAACGGGGTGAGCTATTACGAAGGTCGAAAAATTTGATTGCAACTGAAAAAAGATGTACTTGGTTGATAAATAATTTTGCCTTACAGTTAGGTTACTGTCACTTGCGAATCAATCAATTTTTTTGAAGACAACACAATGCTTTAAAGAAAAACTTCTAAAAGACAGTCAACAGTTCAATAAACACAACATAGAAAACTCAAGATCAAGCAATATGAATCCCGAGATAAATTCAATTCTGACGCGTCATGGGTACGTATCGATGCCTAGTGCAAACAAATACGAACACCAGCCCGGCATCGGTATTGCTGGCAGAGATGAGCAGTCCATGAGACAATATTTTTATTCCTCTGTAGTAATAATCTTGCATAAGTGTCAAATACCAATAATGTCTTCCGATTTCTTTTTCATATCTATTGATTGTTTTTTCACTCGCTTAATCACATTTAAGTGGTTGGCTGCATTACAATCGTCCAAGTGATCTTAAGAAAAAACTAAACAGTAGGATTTTGTTTATTTCGGCACTTGAACCATGTAGGTTCTCTGACCGTCGTTTGGACTTCTCCCATTCGTAGGTAATCTGCTGACGATTGGAAAATTGGAATCATTTGGTTTGTCCTAGATTCTAGGTTGAAGTCAATATCATGGAAAAGTCAAGCAGACCTTCTAGTTTCGGGAAAGAGGGATGTCCGTTTTGCTGTTGGATGTATAGATACCTAGCCACGTCCAATAGGAATGGGGACGTGTTAATTTAAATGTCGGGAGAGCCACCACTGCCTATAGGTTAAGGAGACGTCATATGCTTGCCAATAAGACCAAAGAACGTGTATGGAGGAAACTATCTGCACATTAAAACACCCATACAACGACTCTTTTAATGGATCTGGTTGTTTTGAATTCCCTATCAAACATACCTTAAATTGGCCTTCTTTTCTAGGGGTCTCAAGATATAAAAATATATTACGAGTCCCATTATATATACATGTATGTATTATTTTTCTTGCAAATTGTATTTACAGTAGGTAAACTGTTGTATTTGTCTCTTATACGGCGTGTTGGACTCCTAAAGTGATAGTGGGAACTAAAGCTATGTTAACTTGAGTCCTAATTATTTCAATTGAATTGAAGAAAATACGTATATGAAGTTTACTAGAAATTTAATATAAAATGATCATTAAATTATCAAGATTGATGTACATGGTCTTGAAACCAACTCAACCATCCTATGTGTTAGATGGAATGAACCTCTGCAACTACATAAAATATCGTCAAGGTTGATTGCAGTGGTCCGACACACCAATTGATATGTCATTCATGTCTACATTTACCGGTAAACTGGGAGCACAATTAATGTATTTACATCAAGGAGAATCATCAGACATTCCTGTAAATATTGAAAAGGCCTTCAACAAAGCGGTGAAATGGCGGTCAAAACATGTCCCGCAGAGTGTTTGAAGCAGTAAAATTCCATTTAATTGTCCAGTTGAAGAACACAAAAAAATCGTATCACAAAAAAGCATGTGTCAGGGGAAGACAATATAATAAAACTAAACTAGTGCAACCAGAGATGGTTCATGTGACTGTGGGTCAGGTTGGGGCATTGCCTCTGAAGAGGTCAATATTAGTCTACACCACAAGTAATGTCATCTAAGTTAAAAGTGAGTTGTGAAAAAAACAACTTATTTAACAGATGAAAAGATAAAGAAATTTACTTTCCTTCGTCAGACAGAAAACTAGTGTACAACAAAATGTTTTTGTCTGATAAATATGACCACTTCAAAAGATTTATTTAACCGAAGTCAAAAATTAAGCCACCGAAATATTACAATAAACTAATTAAAATTCCTGTTGAAATAAAATCGCACAAAAAGAATCCATTTTGCTAATTGCAGTTTGTCTTTAACTGTTTTAAAAAGATGTGCAACTTATAAGTTTTATGCTTTAAATGGGATATTCTGCCTTCTTAATGTAGCAACACACAGCCTAAGATCTCTTAGTGGTTGATAATCTTGGTACTTACCAGATCTTCAATTTCAAATAGAATTTATTTATTTCAAAGGGCATTAGCTACGAATTACACAGAAGATTTTGTTTGTTTCAAACATTTATACAAGCAGAACATAGAAATAATATTTAGCTATTAGCAGTCACTTTGCGTCAATTTAGTCAATGAGAGACGAAAGATACCAATGGACATTTAAAGTCGAAAAGAATAACTGACAACGCCATGGCTAAAAAAGAAAAAGACAAACAAACAACAATACACACAAAACAGCATAGAAAACCAAAGACTGAGCAACACGAACCCCACCAAAAACTAGGGGTGATCTCATGGAACCCGGAAGGGTAAGCAGATCCTGCTCCACATGTGGCTCCCGTTTCGAAATAAGCTAAAATAATATTGCTGATGTATTATTGACTGACAAGTCATTTGAATACGTATTCATACAAACTTTAATGTGACCTTTAGTGGGATGGGCTACGCATGCGTCATTAAAAATTAAGGATTTTAACATTGAAAAGTGTCACAAGGGAGACAACAGAGATCCAACCCACAAAATAGGAAAACATCAGAGTCGTTCTTTTTTTAAAACAACAATATGACAACCACTAATATGCAGGCTACTGATACTGGAAAGGCACACACTAGTTAATATTTCAAGTCATTTTATGCACCAAAAGAACTTCTAAATACTAGTGACTATAGAAACATTTGTATTGAAGTGATGAAAACTTTAATTTTGCTGTGTGTACAACTGTTTAGTTAATAGTTTAACTTTCCACAAAGTTGCACACTATCGTCTTTTTGCAAGCAGTGAGTCTGGAAGCAACTTGAAAGTGGTAATTTGAATTGTTCAGAGGAGTTCCAATATAACAGGCTAGTTACAGGTAAAATACTACTTTCAACATTAAATAAACCATTTTTCAGGGGGATTTCTTGATTATTCTTAAATGTGAATCCATTCAACACTTTTGATGTTGTATCATATTAAAAAAGATATATTTTGGTCAAAGGAACATTCACATATGACAGTTAATGATAATGGCAGAATGATTCTTTTTTTTTATTCTGATTTACTTTGCTCAATTACAAACTTTATTTTTAGCTTAATTAAACTTGATTTAATATGTCTATATTGGCAGCTTTCAGTTGATATATTTTGCCATTTGTTTGTTAGCAATGATACATAGTGTACAATGAATTATGTAATGTATTAAATTACTTCTGTTAGCTTAATATATATAATTATGCTTAAAAATAATTTCTGAAACCAAATTTGTAAACAGGTTAAGATATTACAGTTTCTTGGAGTTACTGGACATCAATTACAGAAATGGATATGCATGTCCTGAATGTGGAAACTGTAGTGTCTCTAGGACTGAGAATGTCGTTCATGCCATGGAACCATTACGTAAATGAACCATTACTTGAATGTCCTGAATGTGGAGACTGTCCTGAAACAGCAGTGATGGATGGAGTGTCTCTATGACTGAGAAAGTCGTTCATGCCATGGAATCATTACTCAAATGTCCTGAATGTGGAGACTGTTCTGAAACTGTAGTGATGGATGGAGTGTCTTTAGGACTGAGAAAGTCGTTCATGCCATGAAATCATTACTTAAATGTCCTGAATGTGGAGACTGTCCTGAAACTGTAGTGATGAATGGAGTGTCTTTAGGACTGAGAAAGTCGTTCATGCCATGAAATCATTGCTTAAATGTCCTGAATGTGGAGACTGTCCTGAAACTGTAGTGATGGATAGAGTGTCTTTAGGACTGAGAAAGTCGTTTATGCCATGGAATCATTACTTAAATGTCCTGAATTTGGAGACTGTCTTGAAACTGCAGTGATGGATGGAGTGTCTCTAGGACTGAGAAAGTCGTTCATGCCATGAAATCATTGCTTAAATGTCCTGAATGTGGAGACTGTCCTGAAACTGTAGTGATGGATAGAGTGTCTTTAGAACTGAGAAAGTCGTTCATGCCATGGAATCATTACTTAAATGTCCTGAATTTGGAGACTGTCTTGAAACTGCAGTGATGGATGTAGTGTCTCTAGGACTGATAAAGTCGTCCATGCCATGGAACCATTACTTAAATGTCCACTAATG